TTAAAGGGTGTCCAAACAGGACACTACAAAACGCACGACTCCGCCAAATCGTGAAAATTGAAGCGGGCTTGAAGCGGGCGCTTCCGCTTCAATTTTCAAGATTTGTCGGAGTCCTGCGTTTTGTAGTGTCCTGTTTGGACACCCCTTAAGCAAACGAAACAGCTTGCGAAAAAAAAAAAAAAAGAACAACCCAGGGAACTAAGAGAGAAAAAAAAAAAAGGAGCTTTCTTTCCTTCTTTTTTTTGCACAGCGCAGTTTGGTTACCAGGTTGCGCGTCGCATGCCGCGGGCAAGGAGATAAGAAAGATAGCCGAGAAGCCCTGCCTAAGCAATGCCTAAGCAAACGAAACAACTTGCAAAAGGCGGGAAGAAAACAAAAACAGGGAACTAAGAAAAAACAAAACAACAGGAGCTTTTCCGTTCATTATGCGAGTAAATAGGGATGCAAAAATTTTACTTGGCGTAATGACCCCCCCCCCCCCCCAATTTTCATTTTTCGGAAAAAAAAAAGTGTGTTCATTCTGCGAGTAAATACGGTAAATGAAACTCGAGATGACTTGTGGTTTATGCTACGCCTGAGCAGTATCGAAAAAAAGAGAAAATAAAAGCAAGAGCTGTTCAGATCTTTGCTTAAAGGCGGTTGGCTATGCCAGCAGATAATGGACAGGGGCTGTGTGCGGTCAACAAAATAGCCTAGCAGACGACGCTCGCAATGGAAAGGGCTTTATGCGCAAGCGCCTAATCTCTCCCGTGACGCCGCATTTCTCCGCGGCACAGCGCCGGCTGTCCCGGCGGTCGACTCTCACATGATATTACAGTGTAGACCGCATATAGCGTATGTCTCGGGAGTCGCGAAAATCCGCACTATAAGCGGTACCGTGCTATAACCAAAACATCAATTTTTCAGGCCAAAATACATGCCATGAGACAACTTATCTTTGTAAAAGAATTTATTTTATGTTAGATGAAAAATAAAGCTTAGTTTGAGGAAAGTCTTTATTTTAACATACTAGTGCAGTTCTGTCTCAAGTGTGTCACACATTTTGAAAGAAATGAGCAGCTTTTGCCTGGCGCAGCCTTTTGACGGCGTCGCGGGTTGCGGACGGACGTTGCGAGCGTTCAGGATTGCTAAGCCTAATCACTTTTCTCCGGAGATGAAAATGCGTGAAAATTCGCATCCTTCATACGGTACGCGCCAGGAATACCTTGAACTTGAGCACACGCATGAAATGCGCCAAATAAGAAATCCGGGCGATGTTCGAGGACACAAATGCTTAGAAATCGCCACTGTAGTCGAAGTAAACAAACACGACGACACGGGCGTTTCTGCCGTCTTGAGAGCGCCGCCACGACATCGCCGCACGCGTAGGTGGATGTTCCCTTCTAGTACGTGCTGGATTATCATAGCGACACACAACGAAAATTCACAGTCAAGGATAGCGCTTTTACGCAGAACGATGAGATGAACGCCGTCTACGACGACGATCACAACCGACGCGATGTTCGCGGAATAGAAGCAGCCGGCCCGCGACCGGAGGAGGAGGAGAAGCATTGTAATAGAGGTTGGGGGGGAAAGGAGAGAGCCAATAGTGGCATGCAACGCGCGCGAACAGTTCTCCTCGACCTGCGATTGGTCCGTCGTTGCGGTTGTTTGTTTCTTTGTTTCCAACGCAGCGGAGGGACGCACGTATGTGAACGACTCGTGCGTCCCTCCGTCGCTATGGCAACTGAAGCCTCTCTCTTCGCTTCTCCCCGCTTTTTCGAGCAACCTCCGAGCAACCACAGGGAAGCGAGCTCGCTGCTCCGGTCGTCGGCGCGGTCGGCGGGCTGTGCCAAAAACCGCACTATAAGCGGTATTTCCCTTCGCGCGCCTGCATTTTAAGCGGTATGTAATTACATGGAGTTCTATGGGAGGTGAACCGGTGGTTTAAAAAAACTGTGTTATACCCGGTCCTGCACTATAAGCGGTTACGTTGTAAGTGGTCTATACTGTATTAAAAAATTGGGCCACTGTAGCTGCATTGATCAGCATATTGCCCTTGGCCACCAAACTGATGCATTAAGTACTCTGTTACTGTGTGAATGGTTAAAAACACTCAGAAACATAGAGTGCCACATTACATTTCCTCTGTCTCATTTTCTTCACCTGCCATCTTAAACATTATTGTTACTATTATTCATATTATTAAACCAATATGAATGGTTGTCGGAAAAAGAAAAGCATGCCTCTCTCTCAAATATAACTTTGTGTGTCTTGATCACCTAAAGTCAACCCCTGCTTTTGGGCCATTCATTTTTGTGCGTGCAGGGTGGATGTTTTTTACTTTGTAGCACAGAGTGGTACACTTTTTCCCAACAAGAATATAAAACAAATTGTAATATGACCCATATTGAGGGCCATCTGTCGGAAAGAACACAAAACATGTGCTGGAACCAAACCCCGAGGCACGACTCACAGTCGGGTTTTGTGTTGAGCGGTGCGGTGTAAGCGTCCTTTATACTCAGCATGCAAGGTGTTAACATTGAAATGTTTTTCTCTTTGTAAAATGTTTATGTGGAGTTGGCATTTTTTTAAAGATAATTGTTATATTTCTTTTTAAAGGGATTGTCCGGTCAAATTTTGTATTAGAGAAAACAATTGAATATCATTGTTATTGCCTTGAGACGCATCATACGTGCAATATCTGAATTTTATATGGCCCTCTGCGTGAGTAACTACATTTATACTGCTCCAATCGCATTCTAGCGTAAACGCTGCTTTTGTTGGCAACATTGCAGCTCTGACGTCACAAAACACAAAGCGAGCATTTTTGTCTCGTCGTTTGCCTGCAAGTGAACGCCTCAGCATGCTTCGTTTTTGTTGTTGTGCTCGACTTGTTTTGTGGTTGGGTGAGATTTTTGTTGTGCGGTTGGGTGCCACAACCACCGGGCAGCACATGCGAGCTAAGACATGACGTTCCACACTTTTCCGCGAGACGTGCAGTGACGAGCAAAGTAGATCGTCGTCGTGCGTAGGAACTGGGTTCCCGTCAAGATCGAGATCCTGCTTATGCAGCAATCATCTCACAGAAGAGAGCTACGAGCTGAGCTCTAAGCGGACAGAAGGCTTGTAAGCTGACGTGTGATGCTGTGCCAACTGGTGCATTCGATTCAACCGGAAGTTGCATGACCGCTGCGCTGGCGCGGTCGGTTCATCCGAGTTCTGAACGAGCTCAGACCCAGTTCAGTTCCTCAAAATCTTGCACCGGCTCCGGACTCAGTTCAGCGTCCGTGCAGAAGCAGACGACACTCCGCGTCCGTCTCTGCTCGCAGTGCCATTTTTCGCAGCTCTTGCTCAAATGTCTGCGATGTTTAACAATAACGCCGATACGGAGGTTGCATTTCTTCTCATTTATGATAATAACGTACCTGCTGTGGACGCGGAATTGAGATCATAGCCGAGGGTAGGAATTTGCTTGATTATGATATTCTGAAGGCGTTTTAGGCACCTGCTCGTGTAGGTTTGGCTCCCCGTGGTGAGTGTTGAAATATTGGCTCACGTAAATTGTTTCTTTTTGATGCTATGTGGGGATCCTCAGTGTTGGTATTCTTACTTAGAGACACGGGAAAGGTATTGCCCTCTTGATAGTCCCCGCCTCAGTTGCTCTTGGATGCATATTGACGACTCCGATGCAATGCAGAGGTCTGGGATTTAGTGCGTTGGCACTCGCATGTCCCCGTAGCTGAGCATAATACTGCATGCTTTGTCCGCTGGTATCTGTGGACACCCGCTAACGGGCCTGGGAAAAACGCCGAGAATCGTCCTTTTTGCCGATTCTCGCTTCAACTTGACGCCAAAGTTGCGGTCGATAACTGTCTTGGCCAAGACGCTATCGTCAGGCCTTCGTCTTCGAGGTGACCGGTATACCGACCGCGCGCTGCCGCCAGTGACTCCCGACGCAAAGTCATTCTGATGCTGCAAACTTATCGTCGAAATGCAAAGATTTCCTTTGAGTGGCATTTTCCGCTACCTTCTTGACTTGTAACCGACTATAGTTCAGAACTTTCTGGCTGAATCGAACAGACCTTGATTATGCAGCGAAACCGAAACCAACAGCTAGGCCATCTCGAAATGATACCAGTTGTATTGAGCACGCGTGAAGCCCGATATCTGTTTGACCTGCGTGTGGAAATGGAGCGTGACTATGATTCACCAAGCTCGTCCAAGTCAAGTGACGACATGCATTTGAACGGTTCGCCGTTTGCCTTCGACCCGCGGACATCGCCTCTGAGGGAATGACCTGCAGCCTCATCACCGATCCAGTGGATTCGCTGAAATGTGTACCCAGATGCCGCTTCGTGTACCTAGGTGCCGCTTCAGAGGCGAAATCTGCAGCCTTTGCTTTGCAAGTGCCCCTAGTTCGATCGGCGTCCGTTGCAGTTGTTTTTGCGCAAAACGGCAAAACGTTTGCTCGAAGCTTATGACTGTCTGCGAGTAATATCCTGCTAAAAGTCGTGACTTTTTTTGCACGTGCTTGGGAACTGCATTAAAAGAACCGTATTTCAGTAGGGTGCTGCTTAGGAGACTATATAATTCGAAACAAAATACAAGACATCCATCGACCAATGCTTGTTATCCCGACCACCCGACAAACCTTTGCGTTTTGCGACGTCACGCAGCACCTACGGATGTCAGCCATCGACACTGGCGAAATTCGGGGTGCAGTTTCGTACATAGGCTCATGAAAGGTTTAATTAATAACAAGAGATCATACATCAAAATAAAAATGACGTTTGTCTATATGAAGGCTCCCTCGACATAACGAGCGTAAGAACTTAAGTACTTCCGGTTTGCGCCGGACAATCCCTTTAAGACATTACCCATCCTCTGTTTGGAAACCTATGGCTACATACATTTATAGGGCTGTGAAGCTATCAGTTCCTTTGAATGCATCATAACCAGTGCTCAATGAGATGGGCCTGAAACAAATGACACCTACCATAAAATTAGGTTAATTTCAGAGGCAGGGGGGGGGGGTGCCCCTCGGTGTCTTGCCGGCTTCACTTTGTTAAAGGCTACCCAACCCTGTTTTGCAGACACCATAGAGAAATCTTTAGAGCTACCACTGGACGCAGCAGAACTGGCAAATCAGGCAACCAAATTGTTGGAGGAGCACGACTTCACCGAGGTGCTCAACAAGATCTCCGACGACGCGTTCAGCGACTTCTTCGCAGGTAATTCTTTGCTTTTTGTCTTAAGTCGATACATGTCTTCCGCCCATGCTTGTTGCAAGGTGCATGGTACGGTGAATGGGTATCACCAAAGGGTGACCAGAATTTGCATGGAAAGGGACGAACTGGCTGCTTGGAGCCCCCGGAATAGGTCTCTGTCGTAGGGTGCCAATTTTCTCGCCCTGCAGAAGGGGTAGGGTAAGAACTGTGCATTAGTGTTGCTTTGCGTACGACAAAATGTGTATGCCAAACTAATCTCGCAAAAAAGAAAAAGAATTGCCTGGCATTGATGTTTTGCCTTGTGCCAGTGGTCGGCAACCTTTTGGCGAAGCGGGCCTAGTCGCCGCGAAGCCAAGGCGGAACGGGCCGGACGGCAAGCAGCAGGGGGGAAGGGGGGGGGGGGGGGGGGGGGCGAAAATGAACAGTTTTTTTATTTCACGACAAACAACATGAGAAACGACATTTCCACGAAAACCTAGAAACTCCTCTCAGTGAGACTTTTGGTGTTGAACTGCGCTCGCCAAATTGCGAACATCCACATTCAAGCTGCTAACTGCGAGTCGCAAAATATTGTGGAGGTTCTCGTCAGTCATTCGTGAGTGGAAGTTGAATTTTATGCACTTCATTCGTGAAAAAGTCTGCTCGCAGACGGGCAGCAAATTAGTCAACTTTATTGTTTTTTTCTTTAGCTGACCGCGTAGGAGGGGGGGGGGGGGGGGTTATCGGGAGGCTGAGGGCCGTATGATACTACCTCGCAGGCCGGATCCGGCCCGCGGGTCGCTGGTTACCGACCACTGCCTTATGCAATTGAGGTGTGGTAACACTAACGCACAGTTCTTACCCTACCCCCTTGCAGCACGAGGAAATTAGCAGCCTACAACAAAGACCTGTTTCATGGGCTTGCATTGACCGTTGCATAGATTGTTGCTCGGAGCGGGCGGCCGCTGAGTGACCGTGCGTGCCTCGCGCAGAATCCAAGAACGGGGAGTATGTGCCGAGCAAGGAGGAGACGGAGGAGCTGGAGCGTGCCCTGGCGGCGGTGTCCAAGGACGTGCATCTGGCCCGGGAGTCCCTGGCCAAGCTGTCGGGGTCGTCGTCGGCCGAGGTGCCCGACCTGCCTGACCTGGTGGACGCCTTCCCGGACCTGCCCCTGAGCTCGAGCGACCTCACCTCCCTCACCCAGGCCCTGATGGGCAGCACCCCCGAGGCACTGCGCACCGTGGCCCTGCTCTCCTCGGACCTGCACCCACACCACCCGGAGGGATTCGCCCCGCTCGAGCCCCCGTCCCCCGCCGGTGCCACCGTCTTTGTGCCCGCGAGCGCCGGCACTGCAGAAGTGGCCGCCAGCTGGCTGCTTGGAACCGTGGGGCAGGACTTCGGCATCGGGAGTGCAAACAACGCCACGGGGGCGCCCGCGGGGGCCGGGGCGTCCCAGGTGGGGCTGCCCAAACAGTCGGTGCTGGCGCAGGAGTCGGTGTCCTAGCGATGATCACGCACCGCAGTGGTCATCGTCGTCCCCGGTTCTCGTCTGGTCGGGGGAAGGACGCCCCTTCCGCCGGGCTCTCGTCGGGAGGCCGCGCCGGAGCCGAAAGAAGCCCGCAGTACAAAGATTCACCTTTACGTTGGGGGAACCGCACCCCTCGGGACCGTGTTCCCTGCAGCTACCCCCCGGGGCCGCATCGGAGGTGTGGGGGGGGTGTCCGCCCCCTCCTCGTGCTGTCGTGCTCAATTCTCGCGTTTGCTGTGGGGGATGGGGCGGGATGGTTCTCTCCTGGGACGTGGCGTGCCCCCTCTCTCGGGCATGTATAGGTTCTTTCGTCGAGACTTTCCCTCTCTCATCGTTCTCTTCGGCAGTAGCTAGACTGACTGTAAGTAACACGTGTATTATAGGTACCCGCTAATCCTCCCATCCTCCCTTCGTGGCAGTTGCGTCACTTCCCCTCATCTCTTTCCTCCCTCGCAGGTTTCTTTTTGCGTGTCATCCTATGTACAGGTATATTTAACGTTAAAAAATGGTGAAAAGGAAAATTGCTTTTTTACGCGCTTTGCAGTTACTTTTGTTACGCCTCTGGGCGGCTGGACTTTGACTTTCCGTTCTCCATCTTGTGATGTGGACCATGACGTGTGGACAAGACAAGTTACCAGTATGTTATGTATTATATATATATACATATATAAATATGTATACACGTGTACATGAGTATCGATTATTCTTAGGGAAAACAGGACTTTGCTGTTTCAGAAATTGTGTTATCTGTGTCGTGTCTGCGTAATTTCTTTTTCTTACTGGCAGGATTTTGGTAGTGCAAAGGATATTGTGTGGCAGGGAAATGTCTCTTCTGTTCTCTGGAACGAACAAAAAAAACATGTTTTGTACAGTCTTTTTTTTTTTGTGTGCCTCGGGCATTTGTTGTTGATCATAACATCTCTAGCAATGAAGAACATGTGAACGTTTGTCTCTCATAAGTTAGGTCATGGATGGAGAAAGGAGAAAGCTTTGGCTTTGTCCTTTCGTTGTCTTTGTTATTGCTGTGGTACACTCGCATTATTTATATTTCTTTTTAAGAAACTGCCGCGTGAAATGGTACACTTCCAAGGTAACTGTGCATTTAGGCCGAACGTCTGGACGCCGCTTTTTTTTTTTTTAGCGTGGCTTCGTCTCTTCCCCAAAGAGTTTTTGAATTTTGTCTACGCTGCATGCAGGTGCGCGAAAGCCCCGTAAAGCGGAAAATCTCCAGACTAAGCCCGTGACTCTAATCCCGCCGATTGTGTGGCGTTTGCCCCCGAGAGTTGTTGAGGACGTGTGCGGGTCGCCCCGCGGTCGTGCCCGGCGGCACGGCAGCCGCAGCTCTGAGGCAAGTGCGCCGAGCGTTGGCTCGGGTGTTGGGCAGCCACTGCCAGCCCGCAGTCGTGGTTTGCTGCTTTTCGTTTCTGGTTAGTGGAGGTAGAAGGTTTTGGGCTTAGTCGAGCAGTGTATTTTGAAATGACCTAGAAGACTGTAATTCCTTGTGGATGTTTCTATTCATTCATATCAGTGTATAAGTGGGTTTTAAAGTGGCAAAGAAGAGAAAAAAATTAGGAAAAAAAAAATAAAGAGCTTTTAATGGTCCACTAACATGCTGTAATGATGATTTCTGCTTCGAGCACTCGCAGACGCTTTGTCTTTTGAACGGGTACATTTTGGTTTTAAATGTTGTGCAATGCATTAAAATAGTTGCCTGTTGTGTTTCCACGTTTAGATTTTTTTTTAATTTTTTTTTTCATGCATCTTCCAAAGAAGCACTTTTTCATGGTCAACAGCCGGCAGATCCCTAACACACCTTCCGAGCCAATTGTAATTTTATCCAGTCATTCCCCCATTTTCTTTTTCTTTTTTTTTTGTGGAATAAGGTGAAAGATGGCCCAGATGAATCTTGATGGACTAGCTTTTGCGTCTAAAAATCAGATTTGTATTCTGGAGTCATCACGGCGGAATAAATACTCCTGCAACTTTACTTCGCATCATGTTTGTCTGCCACCATTGGCCAGGCCTGCCACTGGCACAGTCCTGAGGTGAGGTGCTCCTCACATGACTGCCCATTGGTTGAATGTTTGGTGCTGTTGGGGAGGCAACTACTAACTGAAAAACAAGGAAACCTCGAAAGGAGTTTACTGCAAAGAAAAACTGACGAGTAATTACTTTTCAGTTGGATTCAATTAGGATTGTTCAAAAGCAGTATCAATCTTCATGTTGTAAGGCAGTGGTTCTGAAATGGGGATCTGCGAAGGCATTCTAGGGGTCCGCAAAGCCTGCCTCATCAGTCAAGCCCGGCAATAAAAGTTGTATTTATTCAGATTGATAAGAAATGTTCCAATTTTCCAGCGTTATCTCAGGAACGGGCTCGTCCACCATCTTCGCCGACAATGGGGTCCGGGAAACATCAATGGTTGAGAGCCACTGTCATAAAGTAACATCAGCAATAACTGATAGATGCATCTGATCTACCCATGATTGTAGGCCTCTTAAAATTAATTTTGAATTGGAAGGTTTGAAATTTTAATTTTCCGTTGTTTAACATTTGTAGTTTTTGTTTTTGCTTGTAAATCTTGCTATAAGCAGCTATCGCTTGTTTGGGTGGTTAGTTGTCAGTTTATTGTGCCCTCCTTTGTCGGTCTTTCAAAGACTGGTCACTCCCCCAAGCCTGCATAACTCGCTAGGGAATCTTCATTTAAAAATTTAAGAAAGTGAAACACAATGGTTCTTGTAGCATCCCATGTGTTTTTTTTTCTAAAAATATTTTGCCCAGACACGTTCTTTAAGTTTTATTCTGAAGTTTCAAATGCAGCTCTCGGCAAAAGCATAAAATATGCCATTTGCCTTTGAACAGTTGTTTAGGTTGCAATACAATTTGTTCATCAGAAGCAAGATTTACACATTTTTGCTACTGTGTTTCTGCTGGCAGTTCCTCGCCTTTGGATCTCGCAACATAGGTAAAATCCTCCTCCTTCTCTAATAGGGCTTTAGAAATCCAGGGACCATGCTCCAAGTCGAGCTCTTGAACCAAGGTACTGAGAAAAAAAATACATACCGAGGTTTTACGTCCCAAAGTGACTTGATCTTGGGTTGATAAGTGATGTAAAATAGTCTTGGTCATACTTTAAGGGATTATGAAATGATTTCAATATCACAGGCATGTTAATGCATAAGACTAATGAGCCAGGAGATAAAGGGATACTGAAATGAAAATTTTAATTTACTTCTCACGTTCAGGTATAAGTTGAGCATGATAAACATCTGCTAATGACAATCACATTGTTGTATTTTGAACTGATGGCTATATTTTTAGTCCTAAACAGCCGGTTCTGGCAAGCACTTCAGCAGTTATCGGAGAGCGACACATCTTAGGAGATCTGGGGGGCTATGTTGCACGTTTTGGACTCCCAGGAGACTCGGTAGAAGGAAGTGACGTCAACAACGCTCTTTGGATGTTGAATGGTGGAGTCGCTGATGACGCGTTGCGTGGTGCTGCTAAGATACGTTCATTCACACCTACGTCACTTCCTTCTCCCTAGTCGCCTGGGCGTCCAAAACGTGCAACATAGCCCCCCAGGTGCATTCACGACGTCATCAGTCCTAGGATGGGCAAGCCTATGACGAGGCTCTCGTGGTTATGAGCTTCGCCACTTGGTGGCGTGAGCTCTAAGCTTTTTTACATTGATGGTGGCTGCCCCGAAAAGGTAAATGGATGAAACCATGTGCACCGAGCGAGTAGTGGGGTTGATTATTTTCTATTTCAGGGCTGCAGTTAATTTGCATGCCTTTAGTTTTCTTCATTTACCCTTCTGTCACTGCACTTGTTCAATACTGCTCCCAACCCCCTGGGCGGATAGGGTCCGCCATCACTCCTGCTGAACAAGAAGGGGTCCCTGAAACATAGGTTGGAGAACCACTGGCTTAGAACTTCAGATGATAAAATAAGTGCTAAAATTTCGTTTCATTACCCCTTTTAGCTTCTACTATGTAATTTTAATAATAGGACCAGGCTATTGCATCTCTTTTAGAAACTTCACGTAGTTTAAAGTTGCTTGGCAAATGTTTCTTGCTGCCATCGGTCAACAGTATCCAAGTCTGTCGATCAGCATGCGTAAGTACTGCCACTAAATATAGCTCGCAGATTTGTCTGTGCTTGGCTCGGGCAAAACTAACATACTAAGACGCTGGTTTGGGTTCAGCTCCCATTGCTGAGATCCTAAAATAAGGTTAAACGCTTAGCACATGTCTTGGTCTCTGTGCATTGTTAACTCGGGCATCGACACTGGAACACATCAGTAAAGATGCTCCGCGACATTCTGTCCACAAGCTGTTGCTCAAGTTGCGACGGGAAATATGCCCAATGCACATTCTGTAGATCTAAAACAAGGATAAGAAGAGACCAATGTGCAAAGTAGACAAACTTGGTCCCCTATTTTCTGAAGCTGAGCAAGGCAAGGAGAAAAAAGATGAATACAGAAGGCTCCACCTCTCAATGCTTGAAGGGAAGGGATACCAGCACATAAATAACAAAGCATCACACTGGGATTGGTGGCCGAGGGGGCTAGTGTGCACCAGCTCGGAGCACGCGGAGCGAAAGCTTTCGCTGCAGAACCTAGGGATCCTGGGTTCAATCCCCACCCATGCTCATTTTGATCTGAATGAGCATGACACCGGCATGCAGTTGTGTATCAGTACTCCGTGGTGCACGTTAAAGACCCCAGGCTGGCAGTTGTACCGCACTGGCTAAATTGCTCTTCACAGCTGAGACACCAGATGCCCACTGAGGCAGACTAACTTCCAGCTGTATAAACATACACACAAAACAAATTCTACGTCGCACACCGGAGGTGATGAAATTGGACAGAAAAGCTGCATCAGCATTTGGCTGACACCCACGTCGCCGTTAATGAAACGAAAGACTGCTGAACGCTGATGCCCCACTCTTGTCTCTGGTGGTAGGTGATGCAGAAAATCAAGCACCATGACCTTATTATCTGGGATGTGACATACACTTATGAGAGCAGGGTGAAAGGAGAGGATGTGCTAGAGGACAAAGTGCTAAAAAGTGGAAAGTGTATGTTGACCTTCGACTGCATCTGCTAGGCACCTCTATGCCTCTATGCGCATTTCAGTCTATACGATGGCAGTGCTTTTGCTTACTGTGCAAGGCAGTGATGGTCCCTAATACATGGTGTGCAATGTAGTGATGCAAAAGTATCGTAAAACTATTGCTGGTACCATTAACAGTATACTCGATAGCTGACAACTATCAACTATCGATAGCCGACTATTTTAATGCTATCGATGGCGTTTTGTTTATGCGACGAATAATGTCGAGAGTCCATCCAAGAAATGTTGCAAAGCGTGGAGAAAAGCGCAACTGCAATTAAGGACTTCCACATAATTATCAGAAACATGTCTAAAACCTATAGAAAAACTACAGGAAGACGGTAGAAATCCTCCTTACAAACCATGGACAATAAACTATCGATATACTATAAAAAAACTGAATAGAAGATATTCTGATAGTGAAATATCTATATTTTTCTTGATAAGTTGTCAAAGTTTATCTTCTGTCTTTTGATTAGGAGTTCACACTTTGTAGACAAAGTTCAATCAGGAAAATGAAAATCCCTTTGTCGTCCAATTAGTAAGCTATGCACCGCAAAAATCTAAAACTCTTCTTAAATATGATGCTAGTGATGGTGATTCAACACATAAGTACGGGGACATGACTTTACTTAGATGAAAAGATGTGGTGTTTATTTCAAACAGATTGTAAAAAAGGAAAAAAAAAAAAAAATATTGCCTTGGATTCGCAAGTTTTTTTGCACTTAATGTCTCATTGCCAACAATATTGTTACTTGGATCATGGAAAACTTAGTATTTATTTTTGATCCAGTGAAATATAAAAGCATCAGTAACTAACCATGCTGGCTTGGTATAAGCTTTTCATCTGGCAATGTTCAATTTGAAGTGTCCACAAGGTTTTTGTTACACTTATTGGCCCAAACATATTTATTTGTATACATGATGTAAGTGGTGCTATATTTTGAAGTTGTATTTTATATCAACAGGTAAATCATTAAACTCTGAAAATAGAATTGAACAAAAAGTGGCAACACACCACTGCAAAAAAGCCTAAATGTTTTCGTCAATGGCCATTTCCCAATTTTCGTGATCTGCTAATTAACCACAAATAGTTACCAGCAGAAAAAAAAAAGTGATCCTTAGCAGAGTGCCTATTCTCACCTCTCAGTGGACAAGGCTATGGAAGGCAATACATGACAATTGAATAATAAAAAGTGTGAAAAAAACAAGTAACCCTAATGCTATACTTCATTTCAGCTCAAGTTCAGATGCAGCTGATGCTACAAGTCCTGAACAGTGCTTGCACTGCATGAGCGTGTGTGCTTGGCAGGGCTGCTGAAAGCCCGCAGCTCATGCTTGTAGCATAGGCTCAAAGCTGAAACGAAGTATAAATGTCTTCAGCGAGTATTTTTCCCAGCTTCAAGACAAAAAGAAAATCTTTTTTCTTTTGAAGAAAAGAAAAGGGAGGGGGGGGGGGGGGGGGCAGGGGGCATGCACCCTCCCCCTTTCTTTGCAATCTCATTTTGCTGGGGCCTCCTCTCCCCCCTCCCCCTCATACAGCATTTTGTCATGGGTGGCACCCCCCCAAAACTAAATCCTGGCTACGTGCCTGAAGCGTACCAAAGTGCAATGACTACAGTAAAACCCGTTTAGAACGAACCCACATATAGCGAATTATTGTCAATATCAAACTCACGAAAAATTAAAATAAAAATTCATGTAAAAAGTATGTTTTACAACGAACAACATATTGGCTATATCGAACTTTTCCCCTCCGTGAAGGCTTCCAAAATCGCGCAAACAATCGTCTTCTAGCCTGTCCCTTCCCCCAAAAAAAGAAGTAGGAAAGGAAGAAAATTCCAAAAGCTCAAGTTGCGAACGAAATTGAGCGAAGAGAAGAGATTCAGAAGGGGACAAAGCTAAAAAATTACACTCTGCTCGCACGCTCAAGAAAATATATTTTCATCCCAAAGTGTTTGCCCACGAAGAGCAGCGATTCAAATGAAGAAATAAACAAAAAAAATCTTTTAGCGCGTTGTTACAAGGCGGAAGTAAGGAATGAGAAAGATAGAGAACCTCTCGCCTTACAACGAACTCATCGTGAAAGTTCGTTAAAAAGTTTTTGCTATATCAAACTACTTGCTATACCGAACTGATCATAGCATTTCCTGCAGTTCGTTATAAACGGGTTTGACTGTAATATCAGAATTTCAGAAATTTACAAAATATGTGCATGGAAAAAGTATCCGAACGCCATTCCCGTTTTAAGAGTCTAAATTCATTGCCCTTTTTGTAGACAATATGCACGTTTAGCCTTCTTGCTTTGTTTTGACCAAGGCCCTATATTGTCTGCTCGTAGATATCCGTCGCCATGTTCTTTATAGGTTTGGCTTTCATTTTGATAATGCTCGATAGTTTCCTGAAAGTTTTAATTTTGATAGTACCATAGATAGTCAATTTTTCAATAGTTTTGCATCACTAGTGCACTGATGTTGCAACAACTGTTGTTGGGGCCTAGCTGCTAGCATGCATCTTCTGGAGCATACGCTTTGGACCACCAAGTTTGCTTTTTTCCACTAGAACAAGTAGGAAAGCCCACCAGCATGGTACAATGATGTTATGTGCAAGCCACATATTCGAGCACTTGTATGCCATGCACCACTCGATGGTTACCTTCCATATATTTGCCCCCCAGTTGCCTCCACTCGGTGCGGCACTGCAGATCTCCATGGTGCAGGCTGTTGCCCTTATGCAGTGCCGTGGCTTTCCTGAACCAGTAAAGATCACTGTCGTCGAACAGCTTGGCATGCTATGAAATTGCACACTAGTGTCGCTGGCTTTGGAAACTGCATCACTAGCAGGTGGGAAGTATTGCTGTACTTGTTTCCCTCTGGGCACAGGTTTCCACAAACATATGGCTTTAAAAACTACCTGGCATGTTTACACAAACATCTGTATAAAATGAGAAGGTAACCAGAGCCGCATGCAGCATGACATGGATGCAGGGCAAGCTCTTTTGAGGCACATCATTCAACCATTTTGGTTTCTCTCTTTTCTTTACTTGGGACTGTATTTCCGGATGACATAATTAAAAGTCAGACTTCTTCTAGTTCTACAAGGACGCCGCCACAGTCCTTAGGGTGCAGGAAAATGACTGGCTTCCCGTGGGCACCGGTGCTTGGTTTCTCAGAGAGGGTGCGCACGTTCTTGCCCCGGAGGTCCTCCACGGCAGCCTGGATGTTGTCCACCTCCAGGCAGATGTGGTGCATGCCTCCACTTTTGTTTTTATCCAGAAAACCCTGGACAGGACTCTTCTCTCCCAAGGGCAACAGCAACTCAAACTTGGTGTTCCCAGCTTCCACAAACACGGTGGTCACCCCGTGGCTTTGCAAAGGCTTTGGCTCACTCACCTGCATTCATTAGAAGTAATCACTCGGGTGGTGGAGATTACACTATGCTTCACAAAGCATAGTGTAATCTCCACCGCCCAATACGGGTTCCAAAAGGAAAAATCTACAGAGCAAGCTCTTCTCAACATAAAAAAAAAATTGGTTGCAAATATTGAAGACAAGTTAATTACACTCTGACTGTTTTTAGATTTGAGGAAAGCGTTTGACACCGTTCAGCATGCTATTTTAATCAGCAAACTAGAACATTATGGCAGCCGCGGGGTTGCGCTCGCATTACTAAAAAGCTATTTAACAAATCAGCAGCAATACGTAAAAATTGACAATCTAGAATCGACTAAGGAAAAAATGCGTCATGGTGTCCTACAGGGTTCCATATTAGGCCCTTTACTTTTCCTAGTTTATATAAATGATATAGTAAGCATTTCTGGTTCCCCAGAGTAATAATGTATGCAGATGACACTAATATTTTTTTTAGTGAAGCAACTCCAGAATGCCTGGAGGAGAGGGCAAACGCCTATCTTGTAAAGCTTTCAAAATGGCTGAGTTCCAATGGGTTACAAATAAACACAAGCAAAACAAAATATGTGATTTTTAAACCAGCAACAAAACATCTTACAAACTCCCTTAAGATTATGTTTGAAGGTGATTTAATAGATCAAGTAACTGAGGAAAAATTTCTGGGTGTTTTAGCACTACAGGAGCTAAAATGGAATACACATGTAAGTAAACTAAAGTCAGAATTATCACGAGTTCTTGGCTGTATTTATAGGGTGGCAAGCCTTGTGCCAAGGTGGTTAGTAGAAACATTGTATTACCCCTTATATTTTTCCAAAATGTGTTACGGGATTCTTATATGGGGCACAAGTACAGCCATCCGATTACTATAAATTACTAATCCTACAAAAAAAGGTTCTACATATATTCAAAAACTATGGGGGGAGAATAAGAGAACTTCAGATGGAACCACTTTTTAATAAATACAAGATCTTAAAGGCAAATCAAGTATACTACTTCAAATTATTTTAATTAATTTATCGAAAAAAGGTTATACACCACCCCAGTCACAACAGAAGAATTGTACCCGTTCCGTCATGTTAAAGGGGTCATGAAACGCTTTTCCAACTTTTTCCTGTTTAGCTTTCCTCCTCAACTCATAAATCGCGCATTCCACCAAACAGTTCAAGAAGAGGAAAAGAGGGGAGGCCCCTCTTGCTCGGAATCTGGTTTATGTACCCGGACAAAGCCATTGTCCCCCTAGAAGATTAGCCCGTCGCTCAAAATTGAGACAAAAGTTGCTTTCCCCACACCGTTCACCCCGGAGCTGACAGTGCTGTGGAAGCTACGTGCCTGTTGGGCCAGCCACACTTGCCAAATGCTTACGCTCCTCCGCGCATACCCACGCGCAGAGATTGAGGTCAGGTGATGAAAGGAAGGCGGCTGATTGGTTCGGCAAGCGCGTAGCTTCTACCACAATGTCAGCTTAGGGGTGAAGGGACTAAGTGAGGTCCGGTTTTGTGTGACGTGCGTTTGGACACGATGACACGCTTTTGGGACCGCGGATGTATCACAGTGAAAAGGCAGAGAGCTTACGAAGGGGAGGAGGTACGAAATAGTCCGCTGTATTTTAAAATTTTCGCACTGAAAGTCAGGCTTTTGACTTTCTACCTTTTTTCTTTTGGCCCACTGAACGATGTGCTATTAGTGAAATCCCAATCGAAAATGATTTATCCCAACCCAAAATCCGTTTCATGGGCCCTTTAAAAGAAGGGAACCCTATAGAAGAACAAATTACGGAAGGCAGAGTATACACTATCAAACAATTAGTCTATTAAATAACATGCCCTCTATGAAGTATGCAAAATCGCTCCCTTTATTTAAAAAGAATGTAAAGCACCGCTGGTAGGCAGCGATATAAAATTTATCTAAGCTTCCTAATCACAATAAAGCATTGTATTATACTTTATAACTTCAAAGTTCATCCTTGTTTTATTTTATGTGCATGACTCGCCTTGTTATATTTTGTTGGGAATATACTGTTCAGTTTCCGTAAAGTGAGCGATAATGATGTTTGTTATTTGTGTGTTCCTTAGATTACTTGTTTTTTCTTTCATGTTGATTATAATCTGTATTCTCGTCTTTTGCATTCAGTACTTGTTTTTATGCTTATATACATGGTGTTTATTGTTGCATTTGTGTTATGTATGTGTGCCTCAGTCTGTAAAAGTTTTTATCATGCTGTATTATTTTGTTCGATGGAATACATTTCCATGTTATTTTTTATGTGTAAACTGCAAGGGACCGGTGCCACGTTCGGCTCTTTTTAGCTTTTTGCACAGGCCCTTCTTTCGGGCTCTGCCCGAAGGAAAACGAATAAAGAAAGAAAAAAAAAAGAAAGAAAAAAAATGACAGATTGCTACCTTTGCGCCCACACACAGTCACCCGTAAACAAGGAGCCGAGCAGTCTTTGAAATGTCGGGCACATTAAAGAAATTGGTTAGAGTTCACTGAGTACCCTTTCTTATTGTTTACCTAACCAAATGGAGTTCTGCCGAAATGTTCATAATTAACTCTTTAAGAAAGAAAAAAAAAACCTGTTGGGCATTATTTTTCGTGCAACCCTCATTCTTATGACTTGTCTCAGTCAGTCAGGTACAGCCAGAGCAGGAAATACTCATGTGAATTTTTTCAATAAGGCAATACTCTCTATTTACTGCTACCATAAAGGGTTTTGAATATACATAGTTTTCACGGACGTCACAGCCGGGGCTTATGGGATATGTCAGCGCCATTGCCAGGTACTGACATAGTCTTAACGCTACAGTGTGAGCGTACAAAGCTGCTGTCCGAGAAACGCCGAAGCCTCCGACTTGCTCGCATACATTGGAAGTGCCCGTGTCTGTGGTCGTCACTTCGTTACCGGCAAGAAATACATTGCTCAACTCTACGTTGATAGCTGGATGCTTTGTTAGCACCCTGTGCGCATTGCCATAGCGGATGTGGGGCAGTGTTTGGTGCCTGGTAGTGTCACGCTGCAGGGATGTGCTTTTACCTTTCTCACACCATTTCTGTGATTGTGTAGTGTTTGTAGCACACTTGTGTCAATAATGTTGCGGCAGTGGCGCCGAGTTTACCCAGCTAAAATGCCGCGAGGCAAGTACGGGCACATCTCTCCGTTTCCAGGCAAACCTTCGGCTCTCATAAAGACTCTTCTTTTATTACCTGTCAACTTGTATCATTCAGCACGACGATGCACTTCAATGGGAGATGCATCAATGTCAGGCTCTTTACCCATCCAGTCTTAAAATAGTTGTGGGCATTCAGGGCCCTGAAAGCCTTCATCTGTTGCAGCGACACATAGTTCATCGACAAAACCAGGTAGTTAATTATGTCCACATGCAATGTGACTGGCTGCACATCCGCATCTAGAGCAGTGTCCGCGCCAACGTGTAGCGTGTATGAATCAACATTGTCACACATCTTCACTTTAGACTCATATCGAGATCTGTGTAAGGCCCATAAGCTCTTCAAAACAGGAAGTGCAGAACTCATGGCGAATGGCCTTCGCCATCGCACTGTATGGGCGATACAAATTTTGCAGCGAAGAAGCAATCGAGCGGCAAACGTAAGGCGGCGGCAGCGTCTGCGTCAGCTTCTCAGTACCTGGCGATGGCAGCCAGCGGGCGGAAGTAGAGGAAGTGACGTCACGTGGGAACTATGTATACAAGTGGCCATAGCTGCAGTGGGACAGAGAGCACTGCATCTGCACAAATAAATTACTTTTCATACACATTTCGTTAGTACAGTAATGCAAGGTTATGCACAACATGACCTTCTCCAAGTGTGACATGTCAACATGCCACCTAAAGTTGAGCTGGAATGCTCACCTTTAAACCTAAGGTGTTCTTGTAGAAGTCGGTGAGTTTCTCCAGTTCTAGAGTAGCCATGGCAATGTGGTTCAGCCTAAGGATTTTCCATGACCGCTGCAGATCCACATGAGTAGCGTGGAAGCACCTTGTAAGAAGCTGGGCGGAGGTATTTAAACACGATCTCGAGAAAGCCTGCATTCTACCTGTAAAAAAAAGAAAAAAGAAATGCAAAATTAAGTTGCAAACGTCGCATATGACCAAGGCAAGGTACTGAAACATCGTTTCAAGCTTCTGTTCATTGTACTTGCGTCTGAAACCACCATCTGTTTACTTAATCCAGACCTTGATAGTATAGCACAAACTCTAATTGTTTCATAACAGGGACGACGCCAGACCTTCACTTTCCGAGGCTCAGCTCCGTTACTTATTCCCCTCCTACTGGTCCGCTTTAGCACCAGGCGAGGCACGTTCTTACCTCTATATTACTGAAACTGCTTCAGCTTCTCAGTACCGTCCGCCAGAAGCTCCTTTTCCAAGGCCAACTCCTGCTGTTTTCTTCGCTGCCTGGAATTTTGCAGGACGTGGAAACTTCGCGTCCCCAGCACTCCGATGGCCACCACGGTTAGCCCAATGAGACCAATCACCGAGCCTTTATGCAGTCTATCGGCTAAATTACTTTGCCTGTACTTTTTCATCGTCTACATTAACCGACCAGATGGGAATTGGCGATAGAACAGGAGGTAATTACCAGATATGAAAACAAATGAAAAGCGATAAAGTAATTAAACTTGCCGAGAAATCGCCATTAATGGATCAGTGACCACGACAACGAGATAGGACCGGTAGAACCACGGGAACCACGGATAGCACGAATGGATGGATGGTAATGGCTATACCGGCTATACCCTTTTTACCGGGCGGCAGTTGCGCCACCTAGCCTAACATTTTGTCATTCCTTTTTTCTTAAATTTGTCTTCCCCCCCCCCTTTCCCCTTTTAAAGCGATTCCATTGCTTGATAAGCCTTGATTGCACGGGCGCGAGCGGCGCGAGACAACAGACCGTTTGCAACTGAATTTTTGAACTCGCCGAATCAAGCAAGCCATGACATCTCCTGAAACACTTCGATTGTGTTGCTCGCTGCGTGCATTTTCTTGACATGACTGCTAAAACGTCATAAATTATAAAATGTATTTGAAACACAAATTTAAGTGTATCTGGAAAATTAAAGTTACATTCTTACTTATGGCTAAAAGTTTCGGTTTCACATTCTAGCATGAAGCGTGTATACTTTACTCTTTACTGATCTATTTAGGTGTATGAACCATATCGTCATGGGCGTACCAACCGAAGGGGGGGGGGGGGGGCGCTTGCCCCCCCCCCTTCCCCCCCCCCCCTCTGAAACGGCCGCCACTGACCAAGAGTGGGTTGTTGGCTGTTAACACAGAGCGCTCCCGGTAGCCTCCTGTCTAGACGCCATGTTTATTCTATATATCCCAAAAACCCTCGTCGTTCTCCTCTTCTTCAGCAAAGCCTAACAGCACATCTCCTCCCTTTAAAACTGAAGTCTATTTACAGGTTTTACAACTCTTCCACTTCGTGTCGTGTACTCAGTCGATCCGATGTCTGGTGCTGCACTTTTATCGGTGTCTTCACTCCCAGGCACCGGCGTAAGAGCAGTCGATCCGATGTCTGGTGTTGCACTTTTATTGGTGTCTTCACTCCCAGGCATCGGTGTAAGATGAAAGCTGTTACGGCGAAGAGTATCTGAATCGGTGTCCACTAAGTATGACCTTGGGTACTCCGTTGTAGATTGCACTGTTCCTCTTTTTCGCTGATCGGTAATCCAGACCACATCTCCTCTTCTCAATGGTTTGCGTTGTCTTACACCTCGTCGTCTGTCATAGTTGGCCTTTTGTTGATTTGTTCTTTTTCTTTCCCACCGTTGGAGTTCTTTGGTATTCACAAGCCTAGGTTCCAAAGAAGAGGAAACAGATGGAAGGGACGTTCTCAGCTTGCGACCCATGAGCAATTAGGCGGGACTATATCCATTTCCCAATGGTGTTGCACGGTAGGATTGCAGTGCGATGTAGCTGTCAGATGTCTTCTTGAGGCTTCTCTTAATAATTCTAACAGCAACTTCAACAAATCCATTGCTCTGTGGATATCTTGGACTGGACGTCCTGTGTTCAAAACCCCATTCCTGGGCGAACTGCTGAAATGCACTTCCAATGATTCGCTGGAACTGTGGTCCATTGTCACTGAACACAACTTCAGGCGTCCCATGTCTTGCAAAAATTGACTTTAGGTGTATTATTACACCGTTTGATGTCATATAGCATCCTCGATCATCCGCACTGGTGCGCACCGGGGCACTGAGGTGCGCCCCTTCATCTTCGATCACGTGCACCGGTGCGCACCGTACGTCCTCGATCAACGAAGCGCACCCTCCCGGTGCGGCTTTTCGTTGCCCCAACTTGCACCAAGAAAATCGGCGGTGCGCCGGGGGGCAGTCCCATCAGGCATTGCGGCCAGGAGCGGGAATCGAGAAGATGGCGGGAGTAGCAGACGCGCAGACTATCGAGATGGCGATCTTGCAAAAACGAACACGCCTCGCAGCTGCACTAGATGATTTCCTCGGGTCTTCTGACGGCGAAACGACGAGCTTCTCACCATCGCCGCGATTACTGGCGATTGCTGCGGTGGCAAGGAGCGCCCAAAAAGAACGAACTTCGTGGAAAGCGGCGCGAAGCGTTTCGATGACAGCGAGGTACGGCTATTATCTGGTGTTTCGTTTTCTTGAACCAATAATGATGGCCAACATATACATGTGGAATTGTCACCCGCTTCGTGACCCCATCGACAATCACGTCCATGATGTTTATTTCTGTGGGACCGTCAAATCCGCGAGTAAAAAAATAGAAGAAATTGACAGCAGACGGGCACCGTGCGCTGACCTACGCAAGAAAAAACGAACAAAACGCGAAGTGACGCAAGGTGGAGCTCGCCGCGGTGCACTGGCGCGGCGCAGTTTGTCCTCGATGTTGCACCGACATCGCGCTGCACGACCGAGGAGCGCTGTGCACTGTGCTGGTTTCAGGGCGATTCCGGTGCGAGTTGATCGAAGATGCTAATAGTATTCAGAAGAGCAATTTCTGGATATCTCGAGTAATAGTCAGTTACTAGAAGATAGTTCTTTCCTGACAGGTAGAACAGATCCATTGCTACTTTCTGCCATGGACGCTCTGGAAAGTTGGATGGCATCAAAGGTTCATGGCGGTTGGACGCTTCTTTGATGCATTCTGGACATCTTCGTACCATACTTTCGATGGCTGTTGAAAGTCCTGGCCACCATACAGAGTCTTTGGCTCGAGCTCTGCACTTGGTGATTCCTTGATGACCCTGGTGGATCTTCAGCAGAATATCAGGACGCATGGACAGCGGTATGATGAGTCTTGATCCTCTCATGAGCAGTCCATCTTGAACGGCGATCTCTGATCGATGTTGCCAATACTCTTTGCAGCTGTTAGGGACTTCTTTTCGGATGGGCCACCCTTTTTCGCTGTACCATGCCAACTGTTTGCATGTTGAGTCCCTGGCCTGCTTATCTTTGATTTCTTGTAGCCTCTTTTCTGTCGCGGGAAGGTCAGCTGTCACCCCCTTGACATAAGCAGCCACCTCTTGCTCCAGATCTCTGTCACCAGTTTCGCTTAGAGGCTGTCGGGACAATGTGTCCGCCGCAATTAAAGACTTTCCTGGAATGTGTTTCATCACATAGGAGAATCTCGTCATTCTCATCTTCATTCTTTGAAGTCTAGGTGTGATGTCAGCTAGATTTTTAGACATGAAGATTGGCACAAGCGGCTTGTGGTCGGTTTCAATTTCAATGTGAAGGCCCGTGATTAAATCTTGAAACCTTTCACATGCCCAAACTACCGCTAGGCCTTCCTTCTCCACCTGTGCGTACCTTTCTTCCGTCTCTGTGAGTGTCCGTGAAGCGTACGCCACAGGTTTGTAGGACCCGTCTTTTTGAATCTGCCGAAGCACAGCCCCCAAGCCATATGATGAAGCATCGGCTGAAATCACTGTCTTCTTTTTTGGGTCGAACAGCGTCAGTACAGGACTCGTGGTGAGTGCGTGCTTGAGCGGATCGAAGCTTCTCTGCTGTTCCGTAGCCCAAACCCATTGGTTCTTTGAGCTCAGAAGAGAATTGAGTGGGTAGGCGATATGTGACATGTTCGGTATGAACTTTGTCAAATAATTGACCATGCCCAGAAAACTTCTTAGTTCATGAACGCTTGAGGGAGGCTTCATGTCAACGATAGCCTCGATTTTGGCGCTGTCTGGGCGAATTCCTTCGCGGTCGATGATGTGACCCGGGAACTTCACTCTTTGTACGTTAAATTCGCACTTGTCCGGATTCAAAGTCATTCCTTTCGCCTGGAGACGTTCCAGAACCAGGCGGAGTCTGTCATCATGCTCTTGTTGGGAGCTGGCATAAATGAGAACGTCGTCCATGTTGCATACAACACCTTCGAGACCGTTCAGAAACTGCGACATCTTCTTTTGGAAAAATTCTGGAGCCGATGATATTCCAAACGGTAGTCTCTTGAATTTGAACCTTCCGAAGGGTGTGATGAAAGTCGTTAGAGCTTGGGACTCCTCAGCAAGCTCAAATTGCCAAAACCCAGAATTGGCGTCGATCTTTGAAAAATAGCGTGCTCCGGTGAGCTGCCCGAAAACGTGTTCTCCTACAGGTAGTGGGTGAACTTCTCTTTCGACGAACTTGTTGAGGTCCGTTAGATCTACGCAAATTCGGACCTCTCCGTTGGGTTTTCTCACGATCACCATTCCAGAGCACCATTCAGTTGGCTCCTCGATTGGCTCGATTATTCCCATCTTTACCATTTCTTCGAGCTTCGTCTTGGTCTTGCCGAGAAGAGGAATGGCCACTCTTCGAGGTGTCATCATTGCGAAAGGTACAGCGTCAGGTCTCAGTTTGATCTTGTACGGAATCTTGACGTGACCCAACCCAGAAAATAACTTCGGGTATTCTCTTTTTGGGTCGACTGTGCAGCTTCGCACGGCCCCAACTTGATCAAGGCGCTGTACGATGCCTAATCGTTCACTTGCATCTCTTGAGAGAAGTGGCTGTTCCAGGTCTTCTACGATGTAGATGTCGGTCATGAATGTTTTGCCCCTGTAGTAAAGGGTCTTGTTCATGACACCAAGAACTGTCAAGGATTTCTTACTTGGACCCTTGAGGACTTTCTTGGGATTCTGTAGAGAGACATCATTGAAGAGTTCTTTGTACATCTTCTCAGGAATAACGGTGACGTCGGCCCCCGTGTCGACTTTGAATGTTATGGAGACTTCTCGGACGTCAACCTTGACTATCCATCGCTGTCCCTCTGACGTGAACACGGTGCCAAGAAATGCCGTCTCACACGTTGTTACCTCCCTCAGGGTGGTAGAGCTTCTGCAAACCCGTGCGTAGTGCCCCTGTCTTCTGCATTTGTTGCATGTTGCTTTTATCGCAGGGCACTTGTTCGTTTTATGTCGTTCATTGCCACATCTTGAACAGACTTTCTCGGATGTTGGTAAACTCGATCGAGAAGTTTTCTTTTCTCCATTTCTTTCCTTTCCTCCCTGTTGACTTGCTTCTTTTCTGAAGATTCTGTCAACGTTTTCTTCTGGGGACTTGTGGAGCGCAACTTGCTGTTTCTTGACAGCTTCAGACTGTCGAGCCAGATTTGTAGCCTTCTCGAGTGTCAATTCCGGATCTAGTTTGTGGGAGCCTCTGGCTCCCTTTCCCTGATCCGGCCTTCTGGCCGCGGGCACGACGTCGGAAGCCACTTGGCTTCCGACCGGAGCGTACCTTATCGTGGCAAGGAGAGGCAGCCATCTTGGTTGTCTACTCTCGCCACTCCTCCGTCCGCGTCCCTCCCGCTGGGGGGGACGAAGGGAACTTCCCTTTGGCGGGCTCGCCCGGCCCTCCGGGGAGGAGGCTGGAGCCGCCAGGGAGAGAAAGGGAGAGAGAGCGTGTCCTCTGGCCGCTCGGGGAAGGGACTGTTCTGCGGGACTTGAAACTGTTCGGACGTGCGGCCACGGACTCTGCTGCCCCACGTTGGGCGCCAGAATGTGGAGGTCTCAAAGGGGTGCGAGGCGTCCGGATAGGAGGCCGACCGCGAAACCACCACCCCGCAGCGGATCAGAGTCACCGCTACGACGGGTTCGACTGCTGGCTGCACCCGCTAGCCGGGACTCACGAAGGGAGTACACGGACACACAGAATAGAGGGACACCCGGGGTTTATTTGTCCGGATAAATACAAAGATATAAAGACTAGTAACGGCAAGGGGGAGGGTGTCCTTACCTTGCCGCACTTTCCCGAGAGCCTGGACGGAGGTGGGGGCACTGGGGATCCGACGGCGAACCACGTTCTCGGCAAGCGATTGCTTTTCCTTTGTTGACAGCGTTTTCGACCGAGAACAGAGGCGCGGTCCACCCGGTTTCCCCTATCCACGGGCCGGGAAGAAGCGCCCGCGGCCAAGTTGCGAAAATCAGCCAGAGGATGCCCCACCGGCTTCTCTATGCCTGTTTCTTCGCCGCCGCGCGGTTTCGCGCCCCACTTTCACCACGCGGGAGGAAGAAGGGGGACAGGGGGTAAGTGCTTTCAGCGCAACACGTAGGAAGATGCCCCGATGTCCGCCTCTGAAGTCGGTTCCTTCACCCCCCCCCCCCCCCCCCCCCCCCCCAAACGTCTTGCGGGGGAGATTGGGGAAAAGAGAGGAAGTGGGCCAGAACTGTTGCGTCCCCGACCTTTGGGGGGGAGAGGAGGTGGGGTGCCCGGGGCTATCGAGCACAAGAAATGACAGAGGACCCGCTGGGTTCTCAGTCTTTCTCTTCCAAGATGAGCGAGCAGCAGCCCGGCACCCAGCCCCGAGCCTCTGAGAGCGGCCCTTCCCGGGAAACGTGTTTTCCCGAACGGGGACCAAGGAGAACCGCGAGGCGAAGGCGTTTTTCCGGCCGCGGGCCGCAACGGCGATTCGGGACCTGCCCGGGCCAACACCACCTGTCGGTTGAATGCGGTGGCTATGAGGGCCACCGGGACCGGGTCCGCGGGCCGCCAGGACGAGCGGCTCTTGAGGGGGATGCATTGCCAAGGGCGCGACGAGACGGGGCCTGCCCGGGCCGCCGCCACCCTCCGGTTGACTGCGGCGGTCATGGGGGCCACCAGCACCGGGCTCACGGCCTGACCGGACCGGCGGGTTCCCTCGGGGCTCCATCCGCGGCTGCGGCCGCGACGGCCAGGAGCGACGCCGTTCTCGGGGCCTGCCCGGGCCGCCGCCACCCTTCGGTCGACTGCGGCCGTCATGGGTGCCACCAGCACCGGGCTCGCGGGCAGACCGGACCGGCGGGTCACCTCGGGGCTCCATCGGCGGCAGCTGCGGCGGCCGTGGACGACGCAGCTCCGGGATCGGCGGCCGGGGCGCCTACCACCGGTGGCGGCGGGCGAAGGTCGGTGCGCCACGTCGCGACGTGGACTTCTCAGAAAGGCACGGAGCCGCCTCGCTGTTATGTCTCTTGGCACAAGTGGTCGCAGCAGCGGCGCCCGCGGCCAGGGGCACCTTCAAGGACGGTGCTGCCGGTATTTTTGGGCCGCAGAATGGACGAGGAGGACCGGGAGGCCCAGGGCGCCTGTTTTGCCCCGGATCCCGGTGCCGTGTACTGCGGCGTTTGCGGCACGCTGCGCCTCCACGAGGTGCATGAGGCGTGCCGCTACCACCGCGACCGGGTCCGGGGAACCACGCCGAGCGCCGACCCCACCCCGACCGACCTACACGCCGCCCTCGACCAGCCCGGCGCCGTGGAGGCGGTGCTGGCCTACATGACCCAGAGGCCAGGGTTCGCGGCGGCCGTGCTGGAGGGGAGCCTGCTGCAGCTCCCGGTGACGTCGGCGGTGCCGGCAGAGACCGGGGACGCCTCGTCGGCAGGAACGTCCGCGTCAACGGGGACGTCCACACCGACCGGCGGGGACCTCGGCTGCGGCGACGGCGGTGAGTACGCCGACCTCCCGTCGGGTGACGAACTGATGTTGTTTTAGGCGGGAGGCGGCGTACGGGAACTCTGAGGGACGGCGGGGTTGGCAATTGTTTATCTTTTTGAATGTATTTTTTTGTGTGTGTTTTTGCTTTTGTTTCGTACATTTTGGGGGTATGAGAGCCGGCAACCCTTTCCTTTCCTAAAGGGGTGCCAACAGTTTTAAGGAGGGGGGAATGTGGGAGCCTCTGGCTCCCTTTCCCTGATCCGGCCTTCTGGCCGCGGGCACGACGTCGGAAGCCACTTGGCTTCCGACCGGAGCGTACCTTATCGTGGCAAGGAGAGGCAGCCATCTTGGTTGTCTACTCTCGCCACTCCTCCGTCCGCGTCCCTCCCGCTGGGGGGGACGAAGGGAACTTCCCTTTGGCGGGCTCGCCCGGCACTCCGGGGAGGAGGCTGGAGCCGCCAGGGAGAGAAAGGGAGAGAGAGCGTGTCCTCTGGCCGCTCGGGGAAGGGACTGTTCTGCGGGACTTGAAACTGTTCGGACGTGCGGCCACGGACTCTGCTGCCCCACCTCCGTCCAGGCTCTCGGGAAAGTGCGGCAAGGTAAGGACACCCTCCCCCTTGCCGTTACTAGTCTTTATATCTTTGTATTTATCCGGACAAATAAACCCCGGGTGTCCCTCTATTCTGTGTGTCCGTGTACTCCCTTCGTGAGTCCCGGCTAGCGGGTGCAGCCAGCAGTCGAACCCGTCGTAGCGGTGACTCTGATCCGCTGCGGGGTGGTGGTTTCGCGGTCGGCCTCCTATCCGGACGCCTCGCACCCCTTTGAGACCTCCACAAGTTGCATTTTCTCCGACAGTTTTTGGTTGAGGACCCCGACGACAATGCGATCTCGAATCATCTCCTCGTGTAGGACGCTGAAGTCGCAAGTCTTGGCGAGGCTATGAAGTTCTGTTATAAATTCTTCCACGCACTCGCCTTCCCGCTGACTTCTTTTGTGGAACTTCGCTCTCTCGTAGATGACGTTTCGTCGGACTACGAAGTGTCGCTCGAAAGCTGAAAGGACTTCTTCGTACTTCTCCATCTTTGCTGGAGGAAGGTTCAACGAGAGAAGGATATCGTCTGCTTTGTCGCCCATAAAATAGATAAGACCGTTGACCTGCTCAGGCTCAGGTTTTTCTGATAGTCCACTGATGACGCGGAAACGTTCGAATCGCCGCTTCCAATGAGGCCATTCATCGGGGCTGGCGAAATCGAATTCCGCGGGAGGTTGGCACTGGAATGAGTTGGCGTTTGCCATTGCTCACCGTTCCTCTCGGGTCCTGGGTCCTTGAACTTCTGACACCATGTGTTGTTGGCTGTTAATGACACAGAGCGCTCCCGGTAGCCTCGTGTCTAGACGCCATGTTTATTCTATGGACGCTTTACACACGCGCCAGACTACAGCCGCCATTGCTGACCTTCTCTTGTTTTACCGAGATACCGAGCCACTGAAATTGGTTTTGACGAGCCTCCACAAAGGCCAATGCTGGCGAGCAAGACAGAATAAAACCTAATATAGCAATAACCTGGCCTGCTATGGTAATAATGACGTGAAGTAAACGCAATAAGGGGGAACAAAAACTGAAGGTCAGTTATGGCGGCGCCCACACACAGCTGCTGCAAAGCGTCTATATATCCCAAAAACCCTCGTCGTTCTCCTCTTCTTCAGCAAAGCCAAACAGCACAAAGAGCGCTGGCCCCCGACCCGCGCGGGCATATTTTTAACGCGCGAGCGATACAAACCCTAGCAACGGCGCTCACGCCGGATTGGCTGGTTCGTGGAGCCTTGCTCCACGGACAAGGCTCCACGGTCCCTTTGCGGAATCCATCCGCGAGACGTGGGCCGGACGGGCCGTCCGGACCAGGATGTAGGCCCTTACACAAAATATAGTTTTGCTTGCTTGCTTCGAGATAGGCGCTGCCGCCGTCAACATAGGCAGCGGATACAATGCGAGTTTCCGAAGAGGCAGCGTAACTTAGTGGTGAGATGTCTTGGGCTTACTTATTTTTATTTTTTTTCCTCGAAAATTTTGTTTTATCGAGGCATTCGGCGATATTTACGACATTTACGACATTTATTTTTTACCATTAACACTAAAACAAAACAAAACAAAGAATGCTGTTGACAAAACATCGCTAAACTGAATCGTATGGGACTCTATTTACGGAAGTGCATGGGGACAGCGGGGCTTGGGTTGCCGACTGGCCATCAACCCATTTAGCCCCCCCCCCCCCCCCCCCCCCCCCGGCTAAATGGGTTGATAGATTTGTAATTAGCAGCCGCACACTGTCGCCGCGAAGCGGCGTGAACGCAGCCGCGGGGGTGGGTATTAATGCGCTTCGAGTGATACACGCGTCGTCCGAGTCCAAAATTGTTCACGCGCATTGCCGAGCAGCCCATCCGGCGTGAGGGTGGCGGCGGAGGGCTGCCGAACGTTTACCTTCAATCCGGCGTGAGCGTCGTTGCTAGGGGGTCTATCGCCTGCGCCGTAAAAGGAGCCAGTGACCAAGGCGCCCGGTGCGCAAACACAACTGGCCCTCTTCTCCCCTCCCCCCACACTCTTTTACAACGCCTACACGCACACACGCCGTAAAAGTTAGTGATGGACCGAATCTGCCGAACTTCAAATTCGGCAAAGTTCCGCACATCCCGATATAGCAAATGTCTGCGCACGCGCACGAACGCGACAGGGCCATGGATCGCAAATGGACGCCGCGCAGTCGCGCGGTTACCATTGCACAGTTTAGTACAATCATCGGTTATAGCGACGTCTGGAGTAGGCTACACGGTAACTGTGGGTTTGTGAGCTTTTGCGAGTGTGGTTCTCTTCAATATTTTCTGCCTCAAGAACAGAAGATCGATCAGTAATTTACACAGTCCACTGCGCAAGCGACAAATGATGCGATGCATTCTGGGTAACGTGATTTTCATTTGACCTCTCCATTGATGCAATGAGGTAGTTAAAACATTTACTGACAACTGGCAATTACGATCACTGTGCGCAGCCCACTGCCGACAAATGGGGCAGAGTCACGAGAGCTTGCCAGTATGTATGGGATGCATCTGGCATCCTCGTCATATTGTGATACATGTTTTCTCCCTTCGTTTCTTTACATTTTACATACTTTCTGTAGTGTGTATATTCTGTACATTTACTTGTCTGTTTTGTTTTTTCATATGTGGTGGCGGGCTGGCAGCATACATGTACAAGCTACTCAGAAAAAGTAATTAAATTAAGTTACTGAGTATTAGCCTTAAAAGTAATGTAAGTAGAATAGAAATTACTCAAATGGAAAGTGATTCAGTAAATTACTAATTACCGTAAAAAAGTAGCAAATTACTTTTGACTTTTTTTTTGCTAACAAGGAAGTACTTACATAGGTTTTGATGCGTGAGCGAAATTCTGCGAGCCGAATATAAGGCGGCTTGTGTTTTCACAGAAATGTTTTAATAGCTGGTTTAGCACTGCCTGAGCTTGATTTTTCAGTCAGTGTTTGATTGCTTACAGTGTTGTGTAATGTACGTCTAAAAACTACTTGGAATTTCAAAGAAAATGAGAAGTTATGTACTTCAAGTAAAGCAGTAGGTACACCGGGTGCAATGCACTTTAAGGAACATGCTATAAATACAATGAACTTCCGAAGTAAAGTAGAAGTACTTTTTAACACACTCTTTCAGAATGCCCTTTCATTCCCTATACAACTTTTTTTTTTTTTTTTTTTTTTTTTTTTTGGGGGGGCGGTTAGCATTGCTTTAGGGGAAATCGGTGGTGCATCAGTTTTTTTTCGGGAAGGGCGGCAAAATTGGAGGCGCATCAGCTTTTTCCTTTTTTTTTTTGGCCGGGGGGGGGGGGGGGATGGCGGCGATTAATGCGCCATAGAGTAATTGCTTTATTCTCGCTGACGAACCATTTAACGCAATCAACTTACAAGGCACTTATTTGTATTGGTCTTATAGCCGGCATTTCTTCACTCAGAAAAATGACCAGATGACGTCTCGAAAGACAGCACAAGCTATACAGGAGCACCAGATTAACTTCAGAGCGGGTGTTGTACTTTGTTACCTTTTTTAAGTGAGGATACAGTGTGTATACCTCCTGCAGTTGGCAAGAATCCCTAAATTGGGGGGAAGCGGGGGCAAGCGCTTTCTTCAAATGCGTCAAGTCTCCTTAAGCTCCGGGATACAAAGAAACGCCAGTATTCGGAGCTAATCCCACAGTTATTCGGCCTCTCTTGCGTCGTGTCTGTTCGCTCCCCGCGCCCCGTAGCGGTTTTGGTTGCAGTGGAGGGCTCGTTAAATTTTTTTTTGGAATATCCAAATCACTTTCTTCCTCCCCCCCCCCCCCCCCCCTTTTTCTACGCCACCATGCTTCCCCCTGTGCAAATATCAGCTGATCTTCCAACATCTTTCCTCTGTTGATAGGCAGAACAACCACTAAATTTAGAAAGTAATTTGTAATTTGAGTGAAAGTTATTCGGGAAAGTGGTTAAAGTAAACTATATTGTTCTTAGCCCGAGACTGAGGCAGGAAAAGAGAAAAGTTTCAAAGTAGAATAAAAATGAACAGTCGAGGACAGGTCTCTAACAGAGCTAAAGAGAAGTTTATTTGGCTCCACGAACTTCACCACAGAACCTTCTCGACCTTCTCGACCTCCAAAGCCAAAAGATGACAAAAGTGTCATCTCTTTCCATCACAATTGTCAAACGACCTTGAACATCCTTGACGTTTTCCACAAAGCAACAAACGCTAGCTCCCCTCTCCCGGAAGACAATTGACTGAACCTTCGCGTACATAGCACACCCTCCCCCACTACTCTCCGGCCCACAATCCCAAAGCATCCCGGCAACAAAAGATACCAATCCACCTGATCCCCACCCGAAGACACGAAGGAGGAAACCACTTACACCCTTTCACATTTAACAACCACTTTACAAAACTCTCAAATCCGCAAGAAGGTTTTTGCACTGCTGC